GTGCAGTTACGTCACGTATAGTGGTGTAATCAAAAATGACCCGTATATCTTAGCGATACCATTTTTAGGACTTCAAAACTGACAAACAAAATTCCTGCGTCAATTTACGACATTCAGTAATGAATTAGAGATAAAGATCTCATGCTATGACTTAACTTCACAATTGCTCTGACTGGACTTGGACTTTATAACTGAAACCAGTCGTTGTCAAGTTCGATTCAACAAGAACCAACGCAAAATAGTCTTGTTGTAACCCGGGATTATTTTGAGTATAAATGATATGGAATCCATATCCCGTGGCAGCACAAAGTTTGCTTCCATCTCGCCATTGATAGTAATTCTATAATTGCATCATATGATTCTGTCGTTTTTTTTATCACTCATCGTGCAAGTATATAGTATACCTATTAAATTTATTGTTTGATCGAGTAAAGATGGTTATGTCTGAAATAGGTGGTTAGTTCAGCAAACATCTTTATGCACTTTAAAATCACTATAATTTAGTCTTCAAAAACTCACAAAGGATCGCAAAGCAATCATTGGGAGAAGTCGATGGAGCAAAGTCGAGACCGATTCGAGGAATTTCAATATCCTCATTCCTCATCGCTACACCACTCTCAAATTTAAAACAACAGATTGATGCCAACATTTGAGCAAAATCCCGCTTCTGAAACCTATAAATACACTTACCATTATCAAATAAAACCGCTGTTAGTCGCAGAAAATAAACACACAAAGGAGCAAAAATATCGGGTTCAGTTAGGGAGAGTTGTAAAGAAACGATTCCATTTGCTACTAAGTATTATTAAGAATAATGTACCAATAAATTAATTATAGCACTTTTTAAAAATGAATATTAGACATTCATTTTTTTTCGTCTTTTAAATACATAAACATAAACATACTTTCTATTTTATATTAGTTTCTTATTTGCACAAGAGAACACCAAAATTCATTATGATGTAATGTCAAATTTTATCTAAAATGTTTTTGAAAAATCACCATCACTTTTTTTTTTAATAAATAGGTACCTATTTTAAATGACATTTAAATCAAAATTGTATGAACGTCTGAAATCTAATGCCGCAGGGTATTGGTACTACAAAATTATGCTTTTTTTGTTACTTTTGTATAGTGTTTCTGAATTTGTTATTGGGAAACGGATTAGTAAAACTGCTCTCTCTAAAAACGAGAAAAATTATTATTCTCCGTGCTGCAAAAATAGTTTAAATGTTTTGGAATATGAGTTGGACAGTAAACAATATACCGATTTACGCAAGAGACTTAACGTGGTACCATTAGATCACTAGGAAGAAAAGAAACTGTTATAAATGAGGAGGAGAAAACTGCCATCAAAAAAATAATACATTCGTTTTATTCGAAATTTGAATAAACCACTTTGTACGAAATTTGTTGTCGACTTTAAGCCCTTCAAAATGAAATATAACGCCATATCACTATAAATTAAACCCCATAGAATTAATATGGGTGCAAGTAGAAGGGCTTGAAGCAAAGCATAACACGACTTTTAAAATGAGAAAGGTTGAAACCCTCTTTCAAGAAGGTGGATTGTAGCAAACAAAGTGCGCGGAACATGTGATTGAAATAGCAGAAAGACTGTGGGCAGCGGATAACAGTGTCCAGCTCTATTATTATAAAAGCTACGTACGTTTTTTGAAATATTTTCTATTTTTTACATGTAAGTTGGCAACTTCTCATAGAATTTTTGTATTGCCACGATTTGTGAAACACCCCGTATAATTAAAGACATTCTTAAAATATGCTTTCGTTTTTATGTAACTCTCGTTAAAATAATTTTTCGAAATTACAATTACGCCACCCTTTATAATGGAACCTTATCACAGATGCCATTGTTTTGTTTCTAAACTCGTACCATACGCCCAAGCACTACCGTGAGTACACGCATGGTTTTGTAACCGAAGACGATTGCATAGTTATTTATTAAATTCCGAACCGCCTGTTGTATAAAAACGCTCATTATAATATTCGATGACGCGGATATTGGCGTACTGCCGTCCAATCAAAACCAGTCCAGCGGGACCTCATTTTTACTTAGGCGTTTGATTGATATCGCCACACGGTCTCCATTTTTTGACGTGTTTTATTATTTTTTAAAATTAATTTATAAGGGATCTATTGGGCGTACGTTATATAGAGGCACAGTTGCGTATTTAGTTGCTGAATTTAAAATAGTTTCAATATGGAGAAAATTCCGTTTGGGAGATATCCGGAAAAAACTGCAAGTAATAAACACCTCAACTGCCTTACAAATAAGTTAATGAGAAAATCTTTTGGATCATTTCTTACGGGTGTATTTCAAAATTCGTTTATATCGTGGGACCTTGAATGACATAAATTCATTGAACTTGCAACACTAATCTCGCGAAGGCAAACTATTACCAATGAAATTTTATTTCTTCGATATTAATTTAATAATATATGTTTATTTTTTGCACTTCGTATTTACATTTATCTATTAGCAGTAAATCAAAAGCACAGCGCAAACAAGGAACTGGAAATAGTATATTATGCAACAAGTGCGGAAAACGGCATTTGAATCGCTAGTTTATTTGGCACGGAAATGTCCGAAGTGGCTCGGATTCGTGGGAAACGAAACTGACGCGTAAAGTGACGCTTCCCGCAAGCTTGACGGGAGTAGAAAAACGATTTTTTTCTACTCCCGTCTGAAAAATACCTAATTACCCATCGATCTAGCGTGCGAGAAGCGTCACTTTACCACGTCAGTTTCGTATCCCACGAATCCGAGCCATTTCGGACATTTCCGAGATTTTTCCGCACGGATGTTTTCGGAGATATTTCCCACGCTTTGAATTTTGACGTTTGTCAATTCTAACATTCATGTCAATGAATGTATTTGTGCTGTTTTGAAAAAAATGTGGCCAAAAACTAACGGTCGTAGAAAAAGTATAGTATGCAACACGTTCGGTAAACTTTTTAACTCACTCGTTTATTAAACACTCGCTCCGCTCGTGTCAAATAAACTCGTGAGTCAAAAATGCCGTTTACCGCACTTGTTGCTGTTGTTCTTTACGTTATTGGGAACACCATTATACCGTTTGTAGACACAGTAGCAAAACGATCTTTCAAACAATGCTTTACGATGCGGACATTATATTATTTTATGAAACGACTGCATGAAACTGTCGACGTTTTGCCACGTCGCCTTACACCGTAGATCAATGGTAAACACAACTTTTGCACTCTATTCTAGTACATCTTCTTGATCTAAACAAGGACCATAAAGAAAGTATCAGGGAATCCATTAATATAATTTTAAGGTTAGTTTTTAAAAGGTGACGACTGGGATAAATGTTTTTTAAACTCATATAAGCTTTTTGAATGCACTTATTTACGTGGAGCTTGAAACTCAAATCACGATTAAAGTTTAGTTCCAAATGTTCTTTAACACGTATTCGAAAGTGACGTCTAATTACCTCCTTAGATTGAGCAAATAGCGTAAGGTAATATTTGGTAACATTTATTTCCAGTTCATGCTAGTCTGAAAACCCTTCAACACGCTTGATATCCATCCTAAGCGCAATCGTTTTAATTGGTTAATATCTAAATGATCTTTTTCTACTCCCGTCTGTAATACACCTAATTACCCATCGATCTAGCGTGCGGGAAGCGTCACTTTACCGCGTCAGTTTCGTTTCCCACGAAGCCGAGCCATTTCGGACATTTCCGGGATTTTACCGCACGGATTTGGGAGCGATCGGATGTTTTCGGAGATATTTCCCACGCTTTGAATTTAACTCACTCGTTTATTAAAAACTCGTGAGTCAAATTCCGTTTACCGCACTTGCTTATGGGTCTTAATTCGTCCATTGTTGTGATACTCTTTGATTTAGGTCTTAGGTCTTAGGCAATACGGATTCGATAATACAGCTAATGATTAAATTTGTGATAAAGAGAAGTATTTTATCAAGACACAGAAGTATCATTTCCAAGTGTAATTCATTCGCAAGAGATTTAATTTCTAGAATATGTCTCTTAACTTCGTTTTCTGTTACTATGGAAAATGGAAAAAAAAAATTAGGTGGACATCCAGTACCTCAGTTCTTGTGGAAATTTGTTTGTTTACAATGTTTAAGTCTCTCAATTTGCTCCATGATTGTTTCGAGACTAATTTATTTGCATTTATCAAGATATCTTTTCTTATCATTATGGATAGCTATATTAGTTTGGTTTCTAATCTGTTGGTAATAGTCCCATCGTGTCTTATTTTTAGTTGTCTTGAATTTTTTATAAGCTTTGTTTTTTAATTTAATCATCAATTTTGCGGTAGTGTCAACCACGGTTGCACAGGTTCTCAGTTTTTTTTTGTTGACTTGCGGTAATAAAATAGTTTTTACATTAATTTTTAAAACGTATTTTTTTGCTACTGTAATAATTAGTTATCAAAGTAAAAACTTCCAAGATGGATTGAAATAATAATGCTTTTGTTTTATGTTCACTTTATTTTTTGTGTAAATTTGGCATTTTCAATTTAAGGACGGTATTGTTTAGCAAATCATTAGTTGTGATACGTATATTTCTTGTATTTAAAAAAATTGAAGTTGATAAAGGCAAAACGTCATATATGAAACTTAATAATGTCAACTTGTCAGGCAGAAAAAGTTGCAATGAGAAAGTGTCATTTGTTTTCAAAACATTTTTTAATTATTACGAAAAATTAAAAATAAATTGTGCTGATTTTCGGTTTTTCCGGGATATCTCCGGAACTGGATTTTGCAAAATGGCCAACTTTACCTCTCTTTAACCGACTATTACGATTTCCGAGATCCCTATTGTTCCCCCTTGATTTTAGGACATCCTGTACATATATATTATACAGAGGCGAATAAAAAGAAATTTTTTTTTGCGTCGTATGATAGTAAGTTTCGCTCGGACATCGTGGAGTTTTTTTCGCCATCCGGCTCGAAGGACCAATTAAACAACTAATGCATTTGTTTTAGATGCGCTGCCATACCGAACCGTCCCGCTGCCATTACACCGAGCCTAAATCGGCCAAAATGGCGACGATCGTCGAGCTCGAGAGCTGGCTCATCTACCAATACGTAACCACCGAATGCTCCGGTTGTCTCTGTAAGTACCGTCGGAAATACTCGATTTATGGGGTTGTGAAAAAATTAACAGGCGTCCACCTGACCTCATTTTAAAGCGAAGTGGTTTATTTGACGAATTACGAATTGGATGTTTTTTCAATCCGTTTTTCTCAAAAAATGTTTTGCGCCAAATGCTCAGAAAATTTAAGACAACCCCGAAATGACTGTTATTGGTAATCACCTCGCCTAGTTATGTTTTAATTGTTTCTTTTGCGTTTTATTTACGCTTTATCTGTTACGTTATATTAGATTTTTGTTTTTTTTTTAGAATTCGTTAATTTTATTTTCCCGCCTCCCCCGCACCCTTGGCAACCCGACCAAAGTGGATTTTATTTAAATAAATGAAGGAGCCAGGTACGTATTATACGAAAATTTGGTTTTGTTTGCATTTCAGTTTGCGTTAATCGCTAGGCGATGTGTCTTGGCGACACGCGCGACTTCCCATTAAGGCCCCATTAACTTAACGACATGGCGATGAGCCACACAAAATATCGAATAACGCATCGCAGACTCAATTTATTCTTTATTTTTTGTCGACTATATGGCAGTCCGACTTTTAGAAATAAAGAAATGTCTAAATTTTTGTTTGTTTTTTTGGACAGCGTGGTACGGCAGTGGGCCACATTAATTCGCAATGACTAAACTCAAAAGTTGAGCGTTTTTGCTCGCACTCGACCGGACTATGCGGCGTGGGCCAGGGAGCAATAGTCCGGTCGCGGACGAAATACATTAGATCCACAATTTTGCTCGACACTGTCAAAATTAATGTTTATGGATCCCGGAAAAGCGGTTGCTTATAATTTTTATGTTTTTTTTTTGCTAGGTTGCTAGGTTAGTATTGTTGTTATAACTTAACTTCTGGCTTTTTCTGGTCGATGCGAATATTATATATATATGAATATTCTCATCATTTTGAACGCTACAATCGGCTTTTCCGTCCCAAAGAGATAATAGGCCGTTTCCGCCTTTATCTAATTCAAAATCCGGCGAAATTTCGACGAAGTAGCCTCAGAATCCGTCAACCAGTTATCATTACATTATCGAACGCAAACCCATTAATAAAGTTTGTTGGTATGCTTGAATCGACAGTTACTCATCTGAAGGAATCAGTGTTTGCTTTTGAACACACATTTATCTTATCTGAACAGCGAAAATTTTCTCCAAACATTTAAACCACTTTATAGTGGGGTTTGTCTATGTTAGAGAACACGTTTGTCCTGTTGTGCAGTTCGTTTTTCGGCATAGTTGAGTTGTTGAATTCCAAACAAAAGGTAACACTTTGTTCTTTAAAATTAAATATGCGTCTGTTCCTTTCTGTCATGTTTTCGTGATTTTTTTTCTATTTTGCCAAATAAAAGATCTTGGAAACCATTAATAAATACTTTTTTTAATTGCGTCGCTGAAGTCTCACATGTGGACCTCTCTTATACCTCCACATGACTAGGAATAGTGGGATATACAGGGTGGCACGACTTATAATAGAGAAGTTTTAACAGTGTATTCAGCAGTTAAAAATAAGTAAAAAAGTTGATATAAACTTTTGTCCTAAAACGCTTCATTTCGGAAATATGACCAAAAAAATATTTGTTTATTATTTTCAAAAAATCTCTACTAGATTTTGCTTTCAAGCCTGGTTGGTATTATATTAGTTATAGTAAATTAATAACATTAATTATTATTACGTTATTATGATAATTTCTGGAATTGTTATGTAAATAAAAGCGAATTTATATACTGCGAACTATCTTAATTTAATTTGCAAAGCTCGAATATTGGTGTGGAAACATTTTTTTTATCTCGAATACGGTTAGTTTCAGCGAAACAAGTGAAGCTACCAATTTTGTTTATAATTGATCAGGGTATCTTAATTTATTAACATTAATCATTGGTGTGCCACTTTTTTTTATTATTTAAACTAATTAAAAATGTCTCAGAACCGCCACTGGATCAACGAAAACAATTTTATCTACTCTATAAATTTGTTTTTAAGTGGCAATAATAACTACTAAGTTTGACAGTAAAATTTAAAAAAGTTTTTCGCATTATTTCAACCCCCTGTACCATTTTTGTACATATATGTACTGTAAATGGAAAGACATGTGACGCATATGGAGTAGTTCGAATGTACTGGTTAGTCCGAGAGACGCAATACTTACTAAAGACAAATTAAAGTTTAAATATTAATGAAATATTTTGCGCACTATTTAATATATCCTCGTTAGTTAGTTTCACGTTTACCAGTGGCGTGGAGAAAAAAGTCTGTTTCTGCTTTGCAGTCATGACGGAAAGCGCGTTCAAGGCCCGCGACATAGGGCTGAGGGCTCAAAAGAAAATTCTCAGCCGGATGGCGGGCAAAAACATCGCCAGGGCTTTCATCGACGACACCACCGCGTCCCTGTTGGACAACCTGTACCGGCTCGCCAAACAATACGTATGTAAAATGCTTGCGAAAAAATATATTAAGTTGTTTAGTAGGTTGTGACGTGACGTCAAAGTTGAAACGAGTGTGGTAAATCATGTCCGATTTTTTTTTTGGCCTCATGAATCCAGATTTACTTAACTACAGAAAAACATTTAATACAGTCAATCGAAGAATTGGTTTTTAGTGGCTAGGTTGTGACTTGGTGCGTAGTACTGTTATTGTTAGGTTCAAGTTTTTGCTTGCACCGGGGTTATGATTAATTTTATGGCATTTAAGTACTCAAAGATTTTTAATATTGCTCGAATGGGTTAATTTCTAATGACTCCTAAGTTGTAACGTAGTAGACAGTGGAATATTAAGTTTTTTTATTGCACCATGATTTTTCATTGAATTTGTTTGTATTTCCGCATACAGAGAAAGAAACAATTTATAATAATTCGCGCCTAGGAAGTGACGTGTACTTTGCGTGGTGATTTCTGAGGCCAGGTTTTTACGCTTTAGAACTAACTATCACTCTTTCCAGTCGAACAACAAGAAAGAAGCTGAGAAACTGATCAAGAACATAATCAAGGTGGTCATCAAGCTCGGAGTGCTATACCGGAACAACCTGCTCGGCGAGGACGACATGCGTCACGCCGAAAAATTCAAGAGCAAGTTCCGCATGGCCGGCATGGCGATAATATCGTTCTACGAGGTCGATTTCAGCTACGACCGCAACTACCTCGTCCAAGCGCTCGATGAGTCGCAAAAGAACCTCCAGTACATCATCTCGAAACACCTGACCGACAAATCGTTGAGCAGGGTCGAGAGCGTGTTCAGCTATTTCGGTAACGAAACGTTCTTGGACGCCATCTTTAAGCGGGACGGCGAGTACCGCGAATCCTTGGGTCGGGTCGTCGCCGACTTGAATAAAGCGATCGAGAGTGGCGACCTCTAGTCCGCCTTTTTTCCGTTCGGTTCGGGCACCGAAACTAGTCGGTTTAGGTTTTAACGCGCCGGGTACGTCGTGACGTCACGCTACGAGACTGTGACGCACCACGTTTTGCCGTTTATGTGATTTCGTCGTTAAGTGTCGGGGAACGTTTCGTTTTGCGCAATTTGCGTTTTACAGTGTGACCCATTTTGAATTGGAAACGGCCCCGTTACTAATTTTTTTTTAGAATTTGATGTTTTTTTTTCTGTTTGGGTGCGCGCAATTTTTGGAATGGAAACCGTCGCTAATCGCTATCCCAACAGTGCTTTTTTAAAAATCACTTTATACAGGGGGCTCGCAAAAAATAATAGAACCCGAATAGCACACTTTAAGCCGTTGACAAGTTGTGGACAAACGTAGGCTACTTATGGATATTGAACTCTACAAATATCACACGTCTGGATGTCTTTTTGAAATCCAGACATGAATCCCAAGTATTGATTTCTCTTGGAAAACATATACAATTTTTTCTAAATCTAAAAAGGCCTTTTTAGGAAAAACTGAAAAAAAAATCCAATATTAAATTCTAATAAAAATTAATCTGTACTTACTGCAAGTCATGTACAATAAATTGGTGCGAATAAAATGGCACGAGGAGAATTGTTTGGTTAGGATGTTAAGGTTTAACCAAAGCAATATAAACTCTATTTCTTGCTTAGTAACGATTCTTCTTATACTGTGCATTCATATTAATTATAGGCGGTGACGTCAGATAATACTTGTTTTCAAATCGATCGATTCAAATTCACTACAAAATAACAGATTGCGACTATTGCTCTGACTGTAATTTGCAAATTTTGGCGTTACGATAATCTCAAACTAGCATTAACTTTTGGTATGGTGTGCTGCATTGGTTCAGATTTTCACGAAATTATATATTTTTACATGACAATTGTTTCGACAACACCGTGTCTTTATCAAATGTCACATTTGATAGACACGGTGTTGTCGAAACAATGTCACATTTGATAAAGACACGGTGTTGTCGAAACAATTGTCATCTAAAAATTTAGTTCTTATTTATTTTGATAGATGGATTTTCATCAAGTAAAAGCCACCTCAGTTCAATTCCAGAAAGTTTTCCTGGACTAATTTGACATATCCAATGGATGTCGGGTGCTATCTGGGACACCTCCTGATTATGGTCTGTAGGAAAGTCGGTTAACATAATCAGAAAAACTATTTAGTTAAAAAATGAGGTTTTTTGTGGGGATGTTTCCAATACGAACGGGTCGCCCTGTAGGTCACAGGGTGTAGTCTCAAAAAATAAAAAAAATAAAAAATAGATAGATTTAGCTTTCCCATGTTGTAGTAATCTAGTAGGGGTTTAAAAACGAGAGCGGAGATAACTTGAAGTAGCAATAAATTGGGATTTACGTATGAAATGCGTAGAATTAACGTTATTTGTGTAAAAAATCGTGATTAGGTGATCGACTGTCTTTTTGTACGACCGTAAGCGGAAATATTTTCGAAAAATAAAAAAAAATCCTCGATGCCTTGTCGTACGAATAGTGAAAATATAGGGGAGTTGGTTAAATTCGAAAATATTAACATAAATAAATATCTAAAAAACGTTGTTTTAAATGTAAGCCTATGAAAATTCCAAAAAATGCAATTTGTAAAAGCCATAGAAGGAAGAAAAAAAGATAATCTTCTCGCGTTAAACCTCTTGCCGTTTTGAATTTCCCAATGGCAATACTATACATCTACCGAACTAAGCATGTTTATTCATGTTCAATATTTTCGCAGGACTACAACTAAGTACCCGTCGACAATGGGGTGTATTTTAAGATGTAACATATCCAGCTATAACTATATCGGGAATGTACATTTCTATGAAGATTACGAGATATTTTTGCACGTCACGTAAACATTTCGTATGTATAAATACTTCACTAAATTGATATTTGCGCTTGAGAATCTCGGCTTCATTTTCCGGGCCAAAATAGAAACGCACCCTCAATGGGGATCTATAACGTCCCATTATTGCTGTTTTACGTTTGATATTTAAGTTTTACAACCAAACATACAGGATACCCTACCGGGAAAAGTATAACTAGCAAAGCGTTAGCGGTGTATAAATTTACCTTCATAGATCAAATTACTTCCGGTTAGACATCCTGTATAGGATATGCGCTATACTCAGTTTCGCTAGTCCTATAGTGCCTGACGTGCTGTGTTTAATGATTTGAAAAAGATTTTGCCCATAAGGGATTATTTATTATTAACTCCGTCTTGGCGACACGTACAAAATCGCGGACCACTTCTTCTTTGCCGATGGCTAGTTAGTGTATAATGTGTGGCTGTTACTTTATTTTAGCGAAAAAGTGTATTTTATTATTCGTACTCAATAAATGTTATTAATAATAAGTCGCGATTGTTCCCCATACTTTCCTGTCAGACAAATGCACGGGCGTGTGGTTCCCTTTAGTCGGAAACATACGCGTGCATAGATTATAGAAACATTTCTGTTGCTTAAACAACGTGTTTGAGAGTTTCTGCGTTTTTTATTTATTGCGTCAATCAGTACAAGTACCGGTTTGGCAAACGGTTGACCTTAACCTGTTTCCAAATGGGCTAGTATCGCACTTATCGTCATTAAACATCCCATCAATGCAAGGTTCCATTGAAAAAATGCGGTTTGTTTATACGTTATTACCATATAGCTACTAGAGGTATCGAGGACCTGCCTGTGCTGCCAATACAGGAATTTATCAAGCCATCATGGAAAAAATGTTGAGAAGGTCCACTGAACAGTTAGTGTGTAAAATTTAGCCACCTGAGGCGCATCATTGTTTAACCTAGTAGGGTCACTATATTATCCAATTATTATTACAAAAAGGCGTTTGACCGTGTTAGACATGACCAGATGAGAGATGTCCTGAAGGAAAGGGCGGAAAAGATCTGAAAATCAGGTGTTAGACAGGGTTGTATTATTTTCCCCTCGATTTTCGATCCATATTCTGAGCATATCTTTAGAGAAGCACAATAAGATATATATGAAGGTATCTCCATATACGGTTTCAAACTTATCAACCTGCGATACGATAGTATTCGCGGATACAATAGAAGGTTTGCAAAAGCTAATGGACAAAGTTACAGAGACAAGTAAATAATCTGGTCTTGATATAAACACCGGTAGAACCAAACTTATGATTATAAGTAATAAAAATATCAATGGAGCAAATCAAAATAAATCAAACAATACTCCGAAGAGTCTCACATAATTATCTACGAACTATAATTAATGAATCGTGGGACAATTCTAAAGAGATCCGGTGCAGAATTGGAAAGGCTAAAAGTGCTTTCTTAGCTAAGGTCAAGTAGTCAAAAGCCACAACCTCTTACTGGAAATAAAGAAAAGACTCCTAACTAAAAGCCCTTGAATGCTGGCTGCACAAGAAAGTCGTGAAGATACCATGGACCCAGAAAGTTACTAATGAAGAAGTATTACAGGGAATGAAAATCTCCATGAAAATAGTCAACACCTTCAAATGCTGCAAAGTTTAAAATCTTGGTCGCATCATGAGGAACGAAGGAAGATATGAATTACTCCAGTGTATCCTGCAGGGAAAAAAATCCAGGAAGAAAAGTCCCAGGACGCAGGAGACTCTTGGATGGCCAATCTTCAAGCATGATTTGTCAAGTCTTCCGTACAGTTGCTTCGGATTGCAACCAACAAAATTATCATAGCCAAAATAATTGGCAACGTTCGTATTCGACAGGTACCCCACGAAAAAGAATTATTACTTGGCAGCGATTTTTTTCAAGATGGCGGTAGTCGCGACAATTCGACGTTAATGTCGTTTTGACATTTGTATTTGACCTTGCTGCCAGTTTTTAAACAACTTTAACAGAAAAGTAGAAAAGAGACTGCGTTAACGGCAAAATGCAACCAATTTATTCACATAAATAAGACGCGACATAAATAAAAAAATCACACGAACTTCGTTTTCCGAACAATACTGGACACACAACTGCATTTTAGCTACAAATTAAACATCGTTCAACAATTATATATACTTACAATATATATATATATATATATATATATATATATATATATATATATATATATATATATATATATATATATATATATATTACAACTGCTCTATTAACAACAACAATAAGAGAGAGAGAGATTTCTCAAGCTAACCGTATTTACAGAATTTGGTACGTCCTGAATTTTCCGCTAATTATTAACGCAGATCTCGCGAAATGCCTGCTATTCCAGACGGTTCGCTTTGCTACCAACGCGATCGATAAATATATTCTTCAGCTGACGCGACTCCTCGTTACAACGAGTTTGAGATTTTCTCGCAGATGGCGTTGGTGAACTCTGAACACTTGGCGCTGCCGCCCAGGTCGCCTGTCAAGTACTTGGCTTCCTTGATGGTGTCGAAACAAGCGCGCTCTATGATTTCCGCGGGCTTGTTGAGCTGCATATACCTCAACATCATTATGGCCGACAACAGTAGCGCGGTTGGGTTGGCCTTGTCTTGGCCCGCGATGTCGGGCGCTGTGCCGTGTACCTGTTGACCGTTTCCGGAGGCTGATGCGGTTATATTGCAAATAACATAAATGATATCAAATGTCCCACCTACTCTATAACCTCATCCATTTAGTAATTTAATTACTGGATAAGTACTAGTTTTTTTTGTGATTTTTCTCAATGCTAATGGGCAGCTGAACTTGGCCATTTTGAACAAAGGGCTTTTATGGTGTATTAAGGTAAATGTGGGTCAGTTATTTTCGAAAATGACGCCGATTTTTTAATTTTGAGGTTTGGAGGGTGGTTCCAGGGGTTTTGGGAACACGATTATAACAAAAAAATGTTCTACGACGTTTTGTTTTCGATTTTTTGTACAAAGGGGAGCCGTTATATTTTCAATTGGGGAACGGATTAGTTTTTTGAGGTACCGTTCCGAATACATATCTTTGTGCAAAAAATCAGCTCGATCGAAAAATTATGATTTGGAAGGAAAATTTTTATGGGCATATGGGCAAAAATTTACGTTTTTAACCTTTTCAGATACTTTGGGTTGCTCGAGCAGCTTGCAATTTTTACGTAAGACATTTTATGTCTCTATAAAAATCATTCCTGATGGCAAACACTAACACCTAAATTTGATAAAATTTCTATCAAAAGGAATTTTATAACCTAACAGAAGTGACCTGGACCTATGACAGCTAATTTGAATTACTTACCGACTCGAACAAGGCCCCGTTAAGCCCGATGTTTCCTGACGGCGTCAATCCCAGTCCTCCCACTAAACCAGCGCACATGTCAGACAAAATGTCGCCATATAAGTTGGGCATGACTAATACATCATACTGTGAGGGGTCTTGCACCATGTTTAAACACACAGTGTCGAGGTATTTCTCTTCAAATTTGACGTCCGGATATTTGTTGGCCATCTCTCTGCAGCACCTTAAGAACAGACCATCGGACATGCGCCTGCAAGATAAAAAATGTGTAGCACAACATGGGGGGCACAGATGGCGCTACCAACATAATATTTGCCTTATGCACTGCGGTTACTTTGGAGCGGTTATTTTCTTTGGCATATTGAAACGCAAACTCTGCGACCCTGATAGAAGCTTCTTCTGTAATAAGTTTAATACTTTGCACCACTCCATCGACGATTTCGTGCTCGATACCAGAATATTCGCCTTCTGTGTTTTCCCTAATAGTCACAACGTCCACATCATCATAAAGCGTTTTATACCTACAAAATAATGGATAATAAAACCGACAAGTACCAAAAAGTACGTCACTCTTACCCCTCCAAGCTTCTGCAGGGTCTCACATTGGCATAAAGATTAAACTCCTTCCTTAAAGCTAAATTTAGCGATCTGTGGCCTTTGCCCACAGGCGTCATAAGAGGCCCTTTTAAACCGATTTTGTTGCAGTTGACAGAGTCGATAGCCGCCTGCGGAATCCCGAATTTCCCGTCCGGGCCCCTTACAGGAGTTACGTCGACAGACTCCCATTCGATGGGCACTTTTGCAGTGGAAAAGATTTTCTGTACCGCCGCCGATATTTCCGGGCCGATACCGTCTCCGGGGATAAGAGTACATTTCCTGATTTCGCTACTGTACAGTCTGGTACCGAGGGGCTTGGCCGCGGCCTACAACATTTCGTGGAATTGTATATAATCTACCATGTGACATAACCTAAAATTAGTTTCGTTATATAACACTTACGGATTTTATGATCGAAGGGACGTTTTTTTCGGGGTTAATTTTAAGGAGTCTTAAGAATTTCGTGAGAACGTTACCCGCGCTTTTTGAATTGAAAAAACTGGACATTTTAGGTATAAATCGAGAATATTGAATGAATGACAGCGATCCGTTCTATCGAAACGCTTACGTGCAAACTTGGGATTATTTATTGCTACTTACTAGGTTTCTTAAAAATTGGGATGCCATCGTTTCAATAAATTAATTTTTTAAATTAACCCCGCACACAAATTTGGCACCCCTCTTGCGGATTTCGTGATGACAGATGAAAAGGTCGATATAAATTCTGTCGCCGGTAAAGTAGGAGTTTTTTGGTGGACAAAATTAAAGTCAAACTTTTATTATAAACCAAATTTTGGCTGGTACGAGTCGTTCATTGTCTTGCAAAAGCTTGTCATTAATTTTTTAACTAACAAGATGTTAGATGTTGCAAAAAATTTAAATTTTCTAATCGGCCGCATCTCTTGACCATAAATAAAAGATTCGCATGGGAATCTGTAAATCATGGGTTAAAGAGTTCAATAATAGATGGCAATAAACCACTAATACTGGAAACGTCACCTTTTCGTCATCTGTCAAACCCTTCGAAAATAAACAGTAATCAGTTAGAACAGACTGCTTTACAATCTATCCGGGCCGTTTTCGTCAAAATTCCAGTGTCTTTTTGCAAAATACATCAATCCCAAAGTTTCAAGCCACGTCTCAAGGACATAAACCAAATATAATCGCTATCGGTCGGATGTTTAATCGTGTCGTTTTGGTTGCGTCACGTCATTATAGACCTTGATTGCTTTTTGAAGGTCTTGGGTTCAAAAAAATCGTAAATTATTTTATTATTATTTCGATATTTGCTGTTTTTTTTTTATAAAAAATGTCAAGTGTTAGATGCTCCTTCACCGCCGCTGGGAAGTACGCGCTGGCTGCCAGGAATGGCAAGCTACAACAAGGTTAGTTTTTAATTTTTTTCATTACCTAAATCTAACAATTTCTCTGCGATTAATATGCGCTTTGAAAAAAATGCAAGTAAATGAAAGCGAACTTTCGTTTTCTGTCCCCGTTGCATTTTACGCTTGAATAGACAGGTCCTACCTAGTTGGAAGGTTGAAGGTTTATTTTTGTTGACCAATCTATTTTTAGGTACCACTTGTTTACCTATTAATAATTTTCTAAAATATGCGTTCAGTTTTTATAAAATGACCATAGTAACCTTTGTAAAACCTTCCAATTAATTGGACAAATATACAATTATAATCATTAAAAGATTGAGACGCAGTTCACAATATAGATAAAAATGAATAACCTTATCTGCAATGTCACATCCCATTATTTTATATAGGGGGCGTCAGTAAAATATGTCGTGTTTTAAACCTATAATACCAGGGGTTTTTAAAATTTGACGTTACATTTATGTTAGTAGAGGGCTGCTGCAGCCCCAAGTAAATGTATGGTCTCTTTTCGCATATTGAAGGTGTCCTATCGACAATCTACGCCAAACAACCCGGTCAACAAAATAAAACGCTTTGGACGAGCATAGTTTTGTTGAAAACGATTGGCGCAGGCGACCCACCACCCACCGGCTCCACTCCTCCGCCCCGCGACACATCGGCAGGCGGCGGAAACGGGAAAAACAAAAACACCCTTTCTTGTCCCAAGTGCGGAGATCCCTGCACCCACGTGGAGACTTTTGTCAGTTCTACGAGGTAAACGCGAATACTCTGGGCCTTCGTGTACTGTTGGCCTTAATTGTCTTTCTAATGGTTCCTCAGGGATCCTAACTGAATCTCTTTGTCGTTATTTGCAGCAGATTAAGAAAAGGCCTAAGGCTATTGAATGTCACAAGGGTTGTATATTTGCGGGGAGAGTAATAACAATATAAGTATTATAATTTCATATATTGTATAATTTGTCGCGACCATATAGCTCTTAGCTTATATATTCCTAAAGATGAGTAACTCATATCCAAAATCATTGCTATTGTTTTTTTCCTAACTTATACAAACCGAGACCGAGATAATTCAAAACAAAATCCAGTACAAAAAATATTCTATGCTACTCTTACTTACATCTAAGCAAACCAAGATCTGTAACCACAATAAGTTGCCTTTCCTTCACCTCAGTTCCCCAACTACGGGTGACGTCACTTGGCGACCCAGATTCCACAGCTCATATTAAACGTTCATTTAATAGATTTTTTAATTATAGATGGACTTTAGACAATGTAAACACAGATTTAATTTTTTGACAGTTTTTACAATACCAAAATAACCTACAAATACATCTACAAAATATCAGTTCATAGCGGTATTTACAAAATAATGATAAAATACGAGTAAATCAAAAGTTTCTTTAAATCCAGGTCCGAAAATTCATTGTTCTCAAGATTTTTAACCCCTGTTAGAGTTTTGCTAATGTTTCTTTAAATTAATTCAAATATCTTCTCACGAATTTGTTTGAAATTTGGCAGCGTTGGTCGTAGTGATAAGAGGGTGATTTGGCACTAACTAAATAAACATTAAACAGAAACATACGTTGCTATTATTCCACTAAGAATTTTTACTTGTCAAATCAATTTTCAACCCAAAATGACTTTTCAAAATGTGAACATGATAAATGATGGCATCAATTGTATAAATCCAATGGCAACTAACAGCCAACGTGTCACCCAGGGTCGCCAATTTACGCTTTACCTCTGCACCTCCCCTTACTCGGTGTTTAGGGCGATTTTACAATTCAGTGAGACATCTGACGGGAAAAAATGTTACTATCGTTTGCAATTAAAATTGCTTTCATATGCGGTTCGTGTTTACGTTGTATTTCTGTATGTTGATATTGTTTGAAAAAAATAGTTCGTGTGGTATAGTAGTTCGCGATTCAGCGCCTTTATCCGCAAGTTCCACAATAAAAGAAAAGTTTACGTGTTTCAAATCCAGACAAAACAAATTGCTTTGTTGATATATGTCACTCAAGAAATATTTAGTAACAATTATTATTATCCTAATAATAATAGTTTTTGGTGTAAAAATTTGTCTTTTAAGTTATCGGTTCCTGCAACAGACCAAATTAAAATTACATGTAAGATGTTGCTCTTGCGTCATTTTCTACAAACCACAGATAAGAGAAAACGATAACAGAGTCTCTAATAATACGTTATGGTCACTTATCCAGGTAGAATGAGCTGATCAAAGGTTCATGCTAACATTTTGCAAGTGAAGCGGACAGGTTTGTTTACGTTTAACAGCGCCACCGTCGGAGAATAAACTCAAGAATTTATTTAGAGGCGAAAAAGATTCCTCAATTTTGCCCTGTTTTTCGCAAACGACACACTTGTTCATCGTTTAGGAGATTCATAAAAAATCGCTTCGCTTCGCTTTCCACCAATAAGAGCTTGCGTCCTTTCACAGTCAATATGGTTGTTGACAATTCTTGTTAGCAGCGTTACCAACCCTACTGTTTTAACAGTATATTTGCTGACCATGTTTTCTGTTTCATTCCTATTTTCAACTGTTTTTCGCGTTCAACGCCACCTAATACCCTACTATGCAAACATTTTTGATAACCACTACGCAATAAAACACAATGACAAACCACTACGTAATAAAACGCATTGATACTAGATGGCAGTATCTTCTTTATATTTTTATGCACGGGGAAATCCCAATCTACGAATAACAGCTACACGCCTATTGTATTGCGTAGCGTAGGTATTGTTTTATAGTCACACGTAACAACACCTTGAACAGTTTCTTTGAATTGAAAAAAATATTCCTTACAAAGCAAACATGATAGGCTTTGCTTCTGATGGCGCTAACGTTATGTTTGGAGATAAACATTCATTGGTCACTTTGTTTAAAAATGACATACCTCACCTTTTTACTATGAAGTGCATTTGTCATTCTTTTAACCTATGCGCATCATACGCATGTGAGAAATTGCCAAGGGGCGTGGAAGATTTCTGTAGAGACGTATATAATCATGTACAAAATTCTCCAAAACGTATTGGAGATTTCAAAACATTCCAAGTATTCACAAATATTAAACCACACAAATTACTCCACCCTAGCCAAACCAGATGGTTGTCGCTTATTGAGGTAGTAAATAGGCTTCTAGAACAATTACCAGCTATCAATTTGTATTTTTAAGCTGCAGTTCATGTAGATAGATTACTTTCTGCGCAATCAATTCTCTCCAAGGCTCTCGAACCTACAACTGAATTGTACCTGGAGTTTTTGAAATTTGCATTACCTATATTTACCGATCTCAATAAAGAAATGCAATCCGAGACTCCGAAATTATATTTACTATACGACAAAATACTGACCGCATACACAACGATCTTGGAATGCTTTGTACAAGCTGAATATTTGAATCTCACTGAACAAGAAAAAAATGAAGCACAAAATATTTTACACGCAAAAGAAACTAAAATATTAAACCTTGACTTCTCGAGTGAGCAGAAACATTTACCGATGCAACATATATACGTTGGTGGAATGGTGCCAAATTTGATCAGAAGAAAGAGAGAAATAGGAAAACTAGAGGAAGAACAGCTGAAAAATTTCTACTAGGCTGCAAAACATATTAAAAATGTTTCCTTTTGACGACAAAGACCGTCAAGCATTAAAATGTCTGAAGATGCTAAATCCTAAAGCAATTCTGGATCCTGAAATAAAAAATAAATTCCCTTCCATTGCAGATTTACATTATTTCTTCCCAAAGATTTGTCCAAATAATATAACGGAACTGGAAAGAGAATGGCGAAGGTTAAGAAATGTCGATTTTTCTTTCGACCAAAACAAAACTCCCGATATTATCGACTTTTGGAAACATATACAAGAATTAAGAAATGGAGTCGAATCTCAAACATTCCCTACATTGTGTGAATTGGTAAGAAAGCTTTTGTGCCTACCACATAGCAGCGCCGCCGTGGAAAGGTTATTTTCTGCTATAAATATTATGAAAACCAAATTACGCAATAGAATATCGACTACAACTATTAAAGGAGTATTATACACTAAATCCGAAATAACTGATTGCTATTCATTTGAAGCTACAGAAAAGCACATGAAGAAATTCAACAAAAACATGTATGATTTTAAAAATAAAAATGAGTGTGAAAATATTGAAGATGAGGCAATTGAAAATGAAACTGAAAAATAATTTTACTTTGATTTTTGTTTTATGTTGCTGTGATTATAAATATATCAATTTATTTGAGCTCTAATAACTAAGAAAGTTGTTTATTATTTAATTATAAGAGCAAAATTATGAAATCTGCCTTTTTTTATACCTACCGCTTTCTACTGTTTTTTTTTTTGGTGAGTTGTTGTTTTTTAGTTTTTTGAGGTTGGCAACACTGCTTGTTATTATCTTGTTGGAATCAGTTGAGACAACGTTCGGATCTTATTAGATTTTAAGAAGAAAAACGGGTTCAGTGTGTGTTTAGAAAGAAAATGGAGGGAAGTGCGAAAAGGTTAAGCAATAGCTATATGGTCGTGACCATTTGGGGGGTGTCCAGTTCGTAAGTGTGTATGTGTGTTTAGGTTCGTCAAGTGCGAGAAATGCCATCATTTTTTCGTTGTCCTGAGCGAGGTGGACAGCAAAAAGAAGGAGGGCGTGGACGCGAAGAACGGCCACTACCGTAAGCCGCCGCCCCCGCCGAAAAAGATATACGATTACCTAAATAGGCACGTGGTCGGGCAGGAGTACGCGAAAAAGGTAACCGTGTTTCTGGTTAACCTATTAAAGTTAAAAATTTGAGCGGTTTGCGTTCACAGGATATTTCGCTATACCATTTTCGTTTCTTATGTTTCGTATCAACTTTCAACTGGACATTTTCCAGGTATTATCGGTGGCGGTGTACAACCACTACAAACGGATCTACAACAATGCTCCGAGCCAGGCGAGCGGCGGCTCCCAGCGTCAGGACATGGCCATCATGGAGCAGGGTCCGCACAGCGTCACCCACAGGGGTGAGTAGTCAGTCGTTCTCGCAGGAACACGCGTCATCGTCTGACGTAAAACGCTGCAGACCCGCTTCAAATCGCAGGAATCGGCGCGATGGGCGTGAACTTCGGGCCCGTGGAGGCTCCGCCCTCCTCCCGAACTACGACGTCCGCGTCCGCCGCTGGCTCCGATATCCTCGACAAGACGAACCACGAGCTGAAGCTGGAGAAGAGTAATATTTTGCTGCTCGGCCCCACGGGATCAGGTTAGTTTTTTGGGGGCTCTTTTAAATGTCAACAATAGGAAACTCAAAAAAGGTCACTCCTTTGGACTACGACTATGACATTCGCAAAAGTTCCCGTAAAGTAAAAAATTCTCTCAAAAAATGGTTACTCCTAACTAATAATACGATATTTGAAGTCCTCCACGCGGCCTACGCCACTGATGTAACCAAATTGTCCAGTTTGTCGCAGTATTATAGATACTGCTGAAAATTTACTCTTGAAAGAGACAGTTTAAAGTGTTTCGCAAAAAGCTTTCCCACACTGTACACTGTATGGCACTTTTACGGGATATCTCAGTTATTTTAAAAGATAGCGGTTTACGCGAGACTGTGCTACTTTTTTGTGAAATTAAAGATGCGTCAACAAAGTTATCATGGTCCTCTTGGTTTTTGAGATACATGGTGAAATGCAAAACTATCGATTTTGGGACCACCCCCGTATCTCCATTGTCTTAAATTATTGAAGAGTTTAAAAACTGGTCTTATAGGATTTTTTCCGTAGAATCCATTTGTTTGTTTTTTAATTGCTCTAACCATTTTTTAGGTATGAAGCAAACAGATGTATTTTTTAAATAGAACACCCTATATATTATTTTTTGCATTAATTGGAAATGGTTTAAAAAATAAATAATTAGATAAGCTATATTTTTTTAAAATAACAGTGTCTTATTAATATGATAAATAATGTGTTATTATAATGTTAAGGAGATAGTTGGCAATGACTCATCCATTAAAAACATTAAAAACTAAACTAACTGTGAGCTTATTTTTTAACAGATTTTTGTGTCCAATGTTGCAAAAAAAGTACCGGTTTTAAGAAGATTTTGTTCTCTGTATGGTGCTATTTGAAAAAACTAGGTTATCCTAAAAAATTAATAGTTCATTGTATTAAATGCTATTTGCCATTAGACAAGTAAAGAAAAGTTTCATTTACCATTTACCATTTTCCACATAATCAGGTGACCCAGTCAATAGTATTTATGATGGTCACAGCCTCTTAGGCACAATTTTCAAAATAAAAAAAAAGTGAGAAAAACCATCCTATCCTACGTAGAATGATCTCCTGAATCCAAAAATTCGAAAGTTACTACCGTTTCCGCTCAAAACGGAAGCGCAACCATTGACTACATATTGTCAAAAAAATGGACATTCGGTCTATATTAACCCTCCCAAATTTGAAATCGCTATCTCAAGCCGTTTAAAAGTTATTCGCAACTTTTTCTCTTTAAAAATAACCGAGATGGGATACCCGGTATAATTACGAAGTTCTCGCGAATTATTTTTTTTTTTCAAAAAAAGGGAAGACGCTCCTGGCGCAAACCATAGCCCAGTGCCTCGATGTGCCGTTCGCGATCTGCGACTGCACCACCCTTACCCAGGCTGGCTACGTCGGGGAGGACATCGAGTCAGTCATCGGCAAGCTGCTCCAAGACGCCGGCTACAGCGTTGACAAGGCGCAGATCGGGATCGTGTTCTTGGACGAGGTGGACAAGATCGGCGCTGTGCCGGGCATCCATCAGCTACGGTAGCGTAGACGCGGCATAAAAAAAAATGCGCGGTGGTGGAAACGTTAGTACAGGACATTGAGAGGTGGCAGGGTTCTCGCGCAGATCATTCTTGTAATAACTCAAAATCATAGAATCAGTCAGAAACGCGTCTCGCAATTGTGAATTTTTAAATTTCCGCTAGAGGCGCCTCGTTCGAACCAAACCTCTACTTGGGGTCACTTGTTAAACTTGTAAAACTTGGCGGTCCGTCTGAATTAACCGTCGTCGTACCGTGTGGGTTAGAAATGTACCCCAAACACCCACTTTTTCTTATATGTTTTTAAAAACTTTACACAAGGGTTCCGCAATTTTATTTATTGTATTTACAGATTCATTTTCTGTATGTTTTAGTTATGACTTTCATCAAAAAAGTCAACAAAAAAAAATTATTTTTAATGTGGGGTACACTTGTACCTCATTTGGTAATGCCAAGGTACTCATTTTGATTAGTCACGGTCATGCGCAATACAGTAAATATCAGCTGGTGTCAGAGATTTTTTATTTTTGAAATCATAACGCTAGCGTGAAATGTTACGCAGTGTCTGATAAAATAAATATTCGCAATCCAAATAAATTAACCAATTCAGAGTTAGAACAATTACTGATCTCGATGATGCTGACATAGAACTCTGTGATAGTGAAGAAGGTAGTGATGATGTTCCGGAAATGATAGATTCTAAAAATGATATAACACAAGGAATAAATAAAGGTGGTGTTCTAATGAGTGAAATAGTGTCTGAAGATGTGATTCTAGAATAAGAAAATGACAGTGGTGCTGTGAGCAGTGTAATAGAGACTGACGATAGTGAAGAAATCTTAGAAGGTAGTTTATTTTATAGAACCAAAGGTAACACAAAATGGTATAAAATTCGACTTAGACAAAAACGACAAACAGTTGCAAATATAATTAGGAATAAGCATAGATGGAAGAAAATGATAAGGCAGAACAGGTAAAGTTATCGAATTATATATGGCATTATTCACTAATAATACCTATCGCTGTCCAATTTTTCAGACTTTGAAACTTTGGAATGAAAAACACCAAAATCAAACACAACCTCTACAACGCATATGGAAAACGGTTGATGCGGTTGAAATAAAGGCATACATTGGCCTCATCTTGACCTTAGGTGCCCTTCAAGCTTCAAAAGAACCGATAGTAATGTTGTGGTGTACCAAGATAGGTTACACTAGACCAGTTATTCCTGCAACTATGTCTCGCTTACTTTTTCAATTGTTTTTTTCGTTTTGAGGATCCAAAAACAAGAGAAGTCAGAAAGAAAACTGATAAACTGGCACCGATAAGACAAGTTTTCAACATGTTTGTGGACAATTTAAAAGTGTTATAATAGTTGGATTTAGAGGTCGTTGTTCATTTAGAGTTTATATTAAAAGTAAACCAGATATATGGTCTGAAAATTTGGGCTGCAGCAGATAGTGAAAATTCATACGCTTTAACTATGCAACCATACTTGGGCAAAATTAATAATGCAGCAGAAAAGAGTCATCTTAGATCTTGTTGAAGATCTAGGAACCGGATATGGCATAACCACAGTTAATATCTTTAGAAGTTTGTCCCTAGCAGGTAAACTATTAGAGAAACAAATGACTCTTTGCAGAACATTATTAAAAAATAAATCTTAAATTCCTGAAGAACTCTTGTCAAAACCTTATAAACCCATTTTTTTCGTCAATGTTTGGTTTTCGGGAACAACATACAATTGTATAGATGGCCGATGGCAATTTTTGGACAGCTCTTATCAAAGCCAAAAATCAAAAAGCAAAGACAACACAAGAAAATTTCTTTTATACTTCGCAACAGTGTCAAATCATATATGCTAGAAATGTTTCCAGAAATGGAAAAGCACCATGAAATCCATTCCGAATAACCTGAACGACCTGTTTCGGGACGATGTTATTTGTGCAATAGAAAGAAAGATCGCAAGTCCAGGCAGCACAGATAATTTGTAGATTATATATGGAAAAACGTAAGAATAAATATGAGTAGAGGAGTTCGTCTAACTTTTTTTAACATTTTTGTGAATTGTTTATTTTGTTCAACGTTTTCAAAAAATATAATATGCATTATACAGACTTTATTTACATCAACTATTTAATTTTGTTGTTCCAGTGTATATCTACGAGAATTGTCGCATAAAATAACACAAAGCGTTCAAATTAGAGTGGGTACAATTTTACCCCACATGGTGTTGCGCGAAACTTTTCGACCGCTGTACGACGAAGGTTAATATGCAAATGGGTATAGAAACTGTAACGGTTCCTTATTCACAAGAGAAAAGCACCAATACAAAAAAGAAGGGAAAAACGAAATTTCGAAATTTTATTCCAAAATTTTCATAATAATATATATAATAAGTTTAGTAAATTGAGAACCAACGGGACAGGCTTCCCTTAAAAGTACCGGTTGCTTTTTTGGGTCTTTCTAAACTACAAAGTTTCCCTGTGATTTGTTGTCTAGAGTACTTAGCTGCGTGTTAGCCTTTTCTCGACCGTGATATATCTAGGGCTTTATGTGTAGTGTCATTCACGTTCTAGACGCAGTGAAGGGCTACAAGCAGGGTATTCTGCCTGCTAGTTTGTATCTGTGTGTCCTTAAAACCATTGATCAGAGTCATCAGTTCGGTAACCAAAGCCGTGGATTGGTAAATAATGTCATTAACTATTTGGACTTTTGAACCCAAGGCTTACCTCCACCTGCCTTTCGTTCAGTATTCTTCTGATTTGTAGTTAATGTGGTGGAAAGTTACTTCATTACTCAAGTATATAATTTCTTATTTAACGAAAGTAAACACGGTGTAGCGCCCCCGAAGAGAAAGTGATCCGTGGAACCTGCACGCAACAGGGTTCCGGTAATCATCATAGGCGTGCGCGACATCTTTGTATCGGATTCCAAGTGCTGCTGGACTTCGAAAATCACTATCTTCATCAAATAGGTATTTGTAATATCTTTAACCTCTTTAACTAAAATGGAAATTCACCGCCTTCCCATTGGCATATCAAACTTCTGGATTTTGCATAAGTTCTGGATGATGGCGTCACTCCTTGACCTGCCGTAACAATACGCCTCTGAGTTATATCAATGTGGAACCTTATGATCTTGCGAACCCTTCTGAGCCTCCTAAGTGCAGCACACATGATACAAGACTTCATTCAGCATTAAAAATAATTCTCGGCTAGAGAATCGTTCCAGATTTACTCCCCTTATTATAATTATAATGGTGACTCGTAATTTTTTGTCTGGCGTGCATGGGACGTATTGAGTGGATAAAAACAGTCCGTGGAGTCTCCTCCCTTATCAGATGGCGCGTGTATAATGGAAGCGCGGAAGTTCTTGTGCTTTTGGTTTTCCAGTTGTTGATTTTCTCTTTTTCCTGGGATGTAATAAATTAGGCACCTGGTTGTGGTTGAGGAAACTGTGGTACCTGAATTTGGTCTCCTAGTCTACTTGTGTGGGATTTTGTTGAAGCATGTTTGTCTTCGACCACGTTTTTTTTTTTTCGAAGAACCCTGGAGGTTTTTTTTTCTTCTGCGTCATCTTCTTATTCTTACCACTTGTTTTCTTGTCCCTCGCCGGCATAATCACACTCTGTACCGACAGAGACCTGCATTACGCCTAACTGTGAGGTCCACAACGCAAGGAGAGAGCAGAGCCGTTTAATTTTAAGTTTTCCGCTAATGTGATATAATTCATTAAACTTATAATCGGTTGTCAATCGTAGCGTAAGTGCCGATTCTTTCGGTGGTAACCTTTGGGGCTATAATAACAATAAAATATTTGAAGGTTTAGTACGCCCAATGATTGTGAACTCATCGTGTACACGATGGCGGTGTAATAAATCTGTCGTAATTAGTGCACTAAATGTTGCCCTTATTTTTTGTTTCCTTTGTTCGATCGCAAACGCCTACCCAAAATCATATTCATGTTTATCAATTTTTTTAAATGTAGTCCTTTTTTTGGCTTAAATAAGCCAGCGTTTTCTTTTTTTTTCTTTTGCCACCCTCGCTCTACTTCGTAACGCAGTGCGTAGAGCGAAGATGCGTGGATAGCGTTTAAATTTGTAAGCAGTTTTTTATATTAGTTGGTACGCATTCCCTTTGGGAGCACGGGTGTCTAGCAATTTTTTTAAATGTCCATCCTGAGATTTGGGAGGTTGCAAAACTTTTAACACTCCACGTTACCGAAGTCTGTTCATAGATATAAGAAAGTGATTAACTGATACGAATTAAGGAAAGACCCGGGCAAGCTGTAAGAATGAAATATGACCGAACAGGTCCGTACTTTGCTTAGAATTTAATTATTTGTGGTTTTGTTAGGAAAGATACTAAACAATATATATTTATTTATGTTTAAATCTAAAATAAAATTACAAATTTTTTTTACCTACTTAAATTACTTAAAATTATTCACATAATATATCAGTATCACTATCGCTATCATCGCCTGTTCTAATTATTATTTGTTCTATGTTATTTGCAATATGGATATACGATTGTTCTGCTTTTTCTATAAGTTTAACAGAATTTGCCCAACTTTGTGGAGGGATGTTAAAAACTTCGGTTTCTATAAGTTTGAGGACATTGCCAAACATGTTCAATGGGATTAAATATACAGTGGTAAGGTGGAAGCCTTAAAACTGTATACCCTAGATTTTTTGCATAATTATCACAGACGTATTCCTTTTGTAGGTTCAAGCTTGCTTTAATTGCTTTTTGGTATAATCTTCGTGAAAATAAATGTCGTTATTATACATGTTGTTTTGGATTGTTGCTTTTGTGTCACATGAGGAAGGAGTTTTATTCAACTGTCTACTGTGATAACTTGCGTTGCCCATTATAATTACGCTATTAGGAGGAATGTTTGGAACTAGTTTGTTTTTAAACCAACTTTCAAATAAATCAGGGGTGGTGTCTTCATGGTAATCCAGAGAAGAATCTTAAATATTTTTCGTCAGACAGAGAAAGTCCATTTGGAATCCAATCTTTATCCATCTTTAGAGCCAGCATGCAATATAGTTATTCTTTAAAAAAAAAAGCCACCTCAGTTCAATTAGTTATTCTATTACCTCTTTTTGATGGTGCGTTTGTTTTACACCTACCAGTTGGTAGTGTATCCAAAGAAGAATATTAAACATAGGTAGGTATAAAATTATTTTCTATTACGGACCGCAATTTTACCTGAATTTAAATTCAGAAACTTCAGGTAATAATCTTGTTGCATGACCACCCTTGGATAATCCCATTCAAAAACAATTGGTCACTTTCTACCTGTGAACAGACTTTACTCAACATTTCCTCCATTGGGACATTAAAGACAGTCGCCCGAGCGCTCTCTAACTGCGAGCCTCATTGTAGGGACGTCGGCGGCGAGGGCGTGCAGCAAGGCATGCTGAAGATGCTGGAGGGCACCATCGTGAACGTGCCGGAAAGGAATTCCCCCCGGAAGCTAAGGGGCGAAACTATCCAAGTGGACACGACCAACATTCTCTTCGTGGCGAGCGGCGCCTACAACGGGCTGGAGAGGCTGATACAGCGGCGTAACAACGAAAACGTAATAGTCTCGTGGAGTGGTTCTACTTGACTTTGTTTTTTCCTCAATCTCTCTCGCTTAGTATTTGGGCTTCGGCGCGCCGGCAACCACCAGCAAGGGCAGGAGGGCCGTGGCTCAGGAAGCGACCCTGCACCAGTCGTCACAGACCGCTGAGGAGGAGAACGCGGAGCGGGACGCCGCCTTGAAACAGGTTCAGGCGAGGGACTTGATCGATTTCGGTATGATACCGGTAAGTGGGACGGGAGAGGAGGTGTGGGTTTGTCAAACGCCGGACGGGTAATTTTTTTCTAGGAGTTTGTGGGTAGGTTCCCGGTTCTGGTACCTTTCCATAGCCTGAACCAGGGCATGTTGGTCAGAATACTGACCGAACCGAAGAACGCGCTGATCCCGCAGTACCAGCGGTTGTTGGCGATGGACCAGTGCCAGTTGTCGTTTACCGAGGAAGCGCTTGGCTCGATCGCTTCCCTCGCGATGGAGCGGAAGACCGGCGCAAGAGGTCTGAGGGCGATCATGGAAACGCTGCTGCTGGAGCCGATGTTCGAGGTGCCCGGCACCGGTATCAGCGAAGTACACATCACCGAGGACTGCGTCAAGGGCGCGTGCGGCCCGACGTACGTCCGCACCTCACCGGAAACGTCCGAAGAAGACGACCTCGGCGATTCGATACGCCTGAAGCAGTGACGGAAGTGGAAGTCGACTTGACGTTACCGCGACGTGTTAACGATCCCGGGCGGTGGGGAGAGGAGGCGTGCCTAGAGATTGCCGGTTACGCGCGGGTGAACCGCAGTGCCGTAACGGATTATTATTATGCACATTGAATTAGGAAATTATGTGATTTTAACGTTTTTAAGAGCGAGCGACTGTCATCGAACAAGGTGTAAATATTAGAGCTTTATTTAGGGCGCGGGGAGGGGGGTATCGGAATTAAAGATTGGACCTCCGATTCTTTTGGTATTATTTTTATATCAGATGTTCATAGCGTCCGAGATTATGTAGAAGAAATAATATATGATTTTTTGATGGGCTATGCCGTGCAGCGTATCCCGCAGCGGACTACGAATTGTTTCGGGGTCCGTGTCTATATGGATCGTTTACAGGAAACGTAGAATAAAGTTTGTTTTCGAAAATTAAAAAAGAGTTATTACATAAATTTCGTAATGCTCGGTGTTTGCAAGTGACGTCAGAACACTTTTTTCACCTAATTTGTGGCCTTTAACCGTAAACTACAGACAGCGAATAATAGATAAAAATAAGTCAAAACTTAGGGGAAATTCGCACATAGCTGAAAATTGACAGATACGTTAAATATACCATTATACAGTATAATGGCATATTATACATGAAATGTTAAAAATCGTGACTGTCCAAAATATGTACATTTATATCGGCATTATTTGTAAGATACTGAATAAATGTGCCAGTTTCTGGTGTCAAAATGCGCGGTGGATGATGCGGAACTCCTGCTGTTTCATACATTATGTAAAATATGAATGTTCTAATAGTTGAAACCGCGATATCTCTGCCAGTTTTTAGCTCAATGCGAATTTTGGCTAGGTCAAATGTTGCGTCAAATTTTCTGCTCCTACTTCGACTAGTTCAATTTTTCAACGCAGGTGGAGGTCGGGTCGACTGTATAAAACCACCAAAGCGTGTATATTCTGTGATTATTTATTTGTCAAAATTTTGGAGACGCCCGACGTTGACACGTTTTATCACGCCATGTCGCACGCGATGGATAAAACTTTTTCGGCCGTGTAAGTAGTAGCCAGATTCCTCGAAATTTTGAATGTGTTCGGAATTTTCCCGCGCAGCAATGAAAATATAATGAAATTATTGCCGCCGCGGGCTGTAGAGCTGCAAGCCTCGAAAGCCGTCAGTTTAAATTCGCATTACATGACGATGGGGGCGGAGCTCGAGTCCTTGCAGGAACTCGGTTTGCGGGAGCGAAAGGGCCGACTCGAGGCTCTGTTCGTCGACGATTTTCTAAGAGAACGAATGGAACTGGACGAAGTCGACTTGGGGTACATCAATACGCAACCGTGACAGGGTTGACGATACAAATTTTTAAAAAATCTCGATCACTTGTAAATTTCTTATTCAATAAAACTGTTGCAAGGTAACTTTTTTATTTCCCCTACTTCTTTTTCCCTCTTCTGTAATTCGTCGGGAACCACAAACTTTCCATCCTCAATTCCGCAGATGCCTTTTCGAATGTGCCAGAACCTAATTTGTAATGATTTCGTTTTGGAGAAATTTTGGTAGGTAGCTTTAAGAAAATTGGTCACTATATAGCACGAGCAATGCCAATGACACATTAGATACAATAAACATAACAAATAATTATTTAATGAGTTTTTCTGGGCTATAAAAAGTTCTTGAACCGGAAGACGCAGAAGATACGTCTCCATAAACTTTTATTCTTAACAATTTTTCAAAAATATACAGAGGGCAAATTCAAAAAAACTATTATTGAAAATTGGCAATAATTTAAAATCTGTGCTTTAGATGTCAGTTTCTTTTATATGACGATATAGCTAATATAGACAGCTATCACTTTTTAAGGTTTTTAAGTATTGTATAGGGTGTTCGCGATATTCCGTGCAATATTAAAAAGCATAATAAGTGCCCCAAATTTGCAGCTACCGACTTCAGACTTGGGAGAGAAGTACAAGTCTGGACCTGCATTTAGACTCTTAAAATTGGAAGCAATAAAATACAAAATTAAATAGATAACGTGTTATTTATATTTCAGAATATAATAATTTTATACTAACGCTCTCTACTAAATCAGTACCATAATCTTATTTGACTAGAAAACTTATTATACAAAAGAAGAGGAGCGCGCGGAAGAACGGCAACGCCGCCCGCGGCTCGGAAACTGGCCTGCTGTTGCTGTGCGAAACAATGCAACGTCGCGAACGGAAACGTCAAACAATGCGGGGCGTGGGGGTATCACTTTACAAATTTACAATATTAATTACTAAAAAAAACATTCTCCGCCCTGTTCAACCGATTATGTACAATCTGAGGGGGGCGGCGACGAACTGTGGGCGGAGGGACGAACAATAAATTAAAAAATAAAATTAAACTGCCCGACCCGCGCGGGCAGGCTTGACTAAGCTGGCAGACTGGCCGCGCCACCCGCGTGTAACGCGGGTTGCGGCTTTCTATCTTTGGCAAAATATTCGTGGACGTCCGTGACATTATATCCAAAAAGAGAGGACCAGAGGCGCTTTCTTTCTGGCTGGGTTGATTTAAAATGTATCACTTGTTCTTGGGAATCAATATTCCGTAACGAAAACACCATAACAAACTGTAAGGGCTCTCACTGAATGGCCTCTTATTTGGATATAACGTTACTGTTGACTTATATCTATCTTTCTCTCGTTCTTTCTCTCTTTTAACTGAACGTTTCTCAGTCTTTGCGAAACCTGGAAGCACTCGTGGATTTTGCTTTATTTGTCGGATTCGAGTTTCGGCCTTAGGACTTGTACGTGCGTATGACATCGCGGATAACGGCCCGGCACAGGGGGCAGTGACCGCCGCCCTTGCCCCGCCATTGCTGAAGGGCGCACTCGTAGCACATGCACATGTGGCCGCACATGTACAGCACGGCGTCAATCGGGTTCTCGTAGCATATCGTGCACTCGATGCCCGCGCCTATGGCGGCGGTCGCGTTCTGCTCCGCCCACGACAGCGGCGTCGAGTAAGTGCTCGAGTCTGATATCGGCTGAAAATTGAAAAAAAGAACGTTAAAAATATAGAATTATTGATTGCAATGGGCGCCATTCGATAGTCTGCCGATTCGTGCGCCATGGGCTTCGAATTCCCCTTTTAATCCAGTCAAAAATAAATCAAAACTTGGGTAATAACGTTAAATAGACCATTATACATGAAATGTCAAAAATCCCCTTCGAGTCGATTTGTGCTAAAAAATGTATTCAAGGTCAAAATTACAAAATTGAGGTTTTTCCATTTTTCCCGAAAACGGTAAGATTTATATTGAAAATAGGTCAGACAAAAGTTATAGATCATAAAATTCTCTACAAAAATTGTTTTTTTTCTCACGACTCACCATTCGTGATATATCATGGTCATAGCACCATGGTATGGTATGGTAATATTGAGAATTTTCAAAGTGGAATAGGTTGTTTTCTTCTAAATATTGGTACAATAGATAATTGTCTACTTCTGCTTCAACAATTATTTCCCATCATTTTCTCCTTCTTGCAGAATTTCTGTTCGCTTTTCTAAGGAAAGGGATGCAAAATTTCCGCACCACCTACGAAGTAATGAACTTGCCGAATTTTTTCTAACATGGTGTCCCCAGTAGGTATACTTCACTATCTATTGTAATGAAGAAAATTTGATCAGATCGTATCCTATTGATTGAAAGTATGGTAATATTGAGAATTTTCAAAGTGGAATAGGTTGTTTTCTTCTAAATGTTGTTACGATAGATAATTGCCTACTTCCACTTTAACAATTATTTCTTCATTTTCATTTTCTTCTTCTTGTAGAATCTATGTTCGCTGTTCTAAGAAAAGCGATACATCAATTGTTTTTAGAATCATAAATAATTTCTTCTGTTGTATTTGATTCAATATTATAGCAAGTCTGGCCCTGATAATTAATGCATTTTGACGAACAAAATAATCCCACATTTTGAAATAATATTGGGCAGTTTTTCTGGGGCAGGCGGGAGTAGTTTGAATTGGCTCCAAATCTGTTGATCTCCTGTTGATTTTCTATATTTACCTAAGCAATCATTGAGCATTTTTTTAAATGAATTAGGTGCATAAATTAGAGGAAGTACTTCGTTTATACCACTTCCTTGCATACTATAATCATTTGCTCCAGAAAAGGACATGAGTAAATGAAAACCTCCAAGTCTTAATATGATTTTCGATAATTCAGATCCTTCAGGTGCTGCGGATACAATTTCTCGAGGTTTTGCATACAAAGGTTGATCAAAAGTTTTGCATCTTCTAAGGCACACAGTAAAGTTGTGTAACTAGAATTGTAGTTACTCACTGGTTAATGAATAAATGGTAAAAATAAAATTTCAGATTCAGAAAAATTTATATTACTGGTTAAATGTTCGATATAAGCATTCCAACCAGGCAATAATACATGTTTCAATTTTCCATACAACCATAAAATACCTACGTTTTTAAGTAAACATATTGTTGTATCTTTTTTATAATCAAAAGTCTGCAAACTAGACCATCTATTCGATCGACTTGTATTGGCACACGAGATTTTTCTGCAAATTTGTTCTCTTCTGCTGTAACTGAACTATTTGGAGTAATAATTTCAATGTCCCCATGATATGAAGTATGTATATTTATATCAGCAATATCTGCAACATACTGAATAATTGTGCCAGTTTCTCGTGTTAAAATATGCGGTGGACGATGTAGAACTACTGCTGCCTCATACATTATGTAAAATATGAATTTTCTGATAGTTGAACTGTATGATCTATAACTTTTGTCTGACCTCTGTTCACGATAAAACCTACTGTTTTCGAGAAACATGGAAAAAAACCTCAATTTTGTACCTTTGACCTTGAATAATTTTTTTTGCACAAGTCGAATCGAAGGTGATTTTTGGCATTTCATGTATAATGGTATAGTTAACGTCTCTGCCAATTTTTAGCTCCATGCGAATTTTGGCAAGCTCAAATGTTGATTTTGACTGGATTATTTATATACATTTATTGACCCATCTCATCTTGGGTGCCTATGACGTTTATTTATTTACGTTTGGAGAGCTGCAATTACCACTGCTTAATTTTAGGTTTAGTGCAAACATATAGTTAGTCGATTAGAGGGCCAAATTTTTATGGAATATTCTCGAAAATAACCCTACAAACATATATCCGGAACGCTTCCTGTCAGAGATACAGAGTGTTGAAATTCTAAGAAAAAATTACCAGCTACGACTAATCCATACAAAATCTCATTTCATTTTGTGAAACGTCTACGAGTTTGTGTGAAAGAAAACGTTTCACATATTTCTTCTACTCCCTTCTGTAAAATACCTAATTACGCACCGATCTAGCGTGCGGAAAATATCATTTTACCATGTCAGTTTGGTTTTTGACGGATCCGAGCGGTAAAAAATACTTCGCAACTTGAAAGCAGTGTACAAAATATCGACTAAATATCTAGAGTGGTTCGAAAATTATGATAAAAGAAAGCGTTTCCAGACGGATGTTTATATAGGAACTAGGGGATATTTTCGACGTAGAATATGAAATTTGGTACATTTGGCAAATGGCTATCACATTTTCGTACGCGAGCCAAATGATCTGCGCTAAATTTCACACATTAACCAGCAGTTTGCGCCAATTTTATTCAAAACAGCGATTTCCACACATAGCGAGGCCAATTGGGGTGCGAGGTATCAGGCAGTTTCATTGAAAGGGAAAACTTTAACGTTTGACGTTTGTAACGTCATCACACGAGGCTCACCTCGATGTAGGTGGCGCTGGAAGACGACATCATCGTGCCAGCGGCCAAGCCGGCTGAAGTGGTCGGCACCGGCGCCATGACGGGCGAGAGCGGGGACGCACCGTAGGGATGGTGGTTAATGGCCGCCGCAGGCGGCAGTATAACGGAAAGGACGGCGCCCCCGTTGGCCGCCGGCTGCACCTGGATATCGGCCTGGGGGAAGCACAGGCGGCCGTTCTGCGGCTGCGCGGGTGTCTGGACGGCGCTCAGTCTTCCGTTCGACTGGCGCGACATTTCATTTTGCAAATTGAGACTGTTGATAGACTCGCTAGTCGTCGGATGTCTTCGTTCCGGATTCGACCTCGTCGGGGAGGCGTGGCCGCTCAGCACCCGGATCCTTTGCGTCGAGCCGTAGATGTCGAAGAACGCCCACAGCCGGAGCGTCTGGTCGACGTGGATGACGACCAGCGGCGCGCCGCCATTGCACGCGATCTGCACCTCGCCGGTGGCGCTTATGCAGAAGCTGATCTCGTCACCCTTGTTTAGGTTCCGGGCAAAGTCGCGCGATATGACCCAATACTCCGGACGGTCGAGCAGGAAATTCGAATCGTCCGGCAGGTCGGTCGTTTGCAAGGTCGCCGGATCGCAAGAGGTCAATCCTGAAAAGAGACGACGACCGTTTATGAACTACCAACCACCCTATAAACATTGTCTGTTAATAATTAATGACTGACATGTTAGGCTTTGTTTTTATAAACAGGATGTTCAAATAATGTGTCAAAGTGATATATTTCGTTTGTTTGTTTTAGAAAAAAAAATACAAAAGAATAAAGAAACATTTTTTCTAAAATATACAGGGTGGTTAATAAATATGTAGGAAATAGAACTTATATATTTTAAAATAAAACACCCTGTATGTTATTGCATTAGCAGACACTCTCTTTTTTACTCAATCCCCAATTTAGGATGTTGTGGTTTTTATGGTCTGTACCGAGTGTTTTCGGACAGCAGTAAGTAGTACAGTCATTTATTGTATACTTGTCTTGAAGTTAGTTCGATTCATTTATACAGGATGAGTCAAAATGAACAATATTAATTTTCGCGAAAAAATCAATATATTATATTTCCACTAATTACTCTTTCAATGTGATTAAGCATTCCCTATACCTCAACTTAGTACTTTTTGAGGTATAAACATTTGCAAATTATTAGAAAATATCGGAATAAGCCAAGAAAAACAAAAATAAATAGGTAAATTTTCAATTTAGTGAAAAAATGTTTCCTTCCTTTCTAGTAATTTAGAAATTTTGCTTTTCTTCAAGCCGAAGATATTATTGAACTATAAATACTGTTTTCAGACCGCGCCTTTAGTGCAAAATAAGTATTTGAAACCTGTCAATTTTGTATTAATTAATTTGTTGTTAGTGACTTAACTTTCAACTCAACCATTAATTTTTCGTTGGAAGAAATGGTCGATATGATTTTCGTATTGGGATTTAGCGAGTAAAGTGCATTATGAGAATTTATAAGCAACAGTAATCCGATAGTAGGCAGCCCTCTAAAAGAACTCTTGAGTATTTGATGAATAGTTTTACTCGAACTGGAGGTTTTGCTTATGAAAAGAACGAAAGAGTCAAGACTGTATGTAGTAATGAGGAAAATGAATTTCAAGTATTACTTGGTGTCACAGAAAACCCACATGTATAAGTGTACGATAAATGTTAGTAATTTCTAAAAGTTCTGCGAATAATATTTTCCAAAAAAAAAATAAGATTCACCGTTATCATGTTATGAAGAACTCAATGAAAATGATTACCGAATTATATCAACATTTTGTGAATAGACACAAGAATTTTTGTTATGTTGATGGGCATAATTTTCACTATTATGCTAACAACAACCAACAACGTTGACACAGCCAGAAAAAAGATGGTTTTCAAATGTTTGAGGTGGTAAAATACAGTGAATGGGCAAGTTAACTTAGATTCGTTCGGGTATATTTATTTTGTTCTCAATTTTTTGTGATATTTTAAATTATAAAAATTTCGAGTATTTTGTTCGTAAAAATGCGCATACCTCAAAAAATACTAAGTTTGGGTATAGGGAATGCTTAATAAAATTGAGAGAACATTAGTAGGTGTAATTAAGGAGTAATAATTTCACTAAAATTAATATTTTTCATTTTGACGATTTGAACTAACTTCAACGCAAGTTTAGGATAAATAACTGTATATAGATTATAAGGTTATTAAACACAGAGTATTGACGATAAAAGAGAGTATCCATTAACGCCGTAATATACATTTAAAAATATATATGTTTGATTTCCCACATATTTACGAATCACCCTGTATAATTGAAAATAATTTTAAATTATTTTTTTTAGTCTCATCTATAACTTTTGTATTTAACATTTTTCTCTAAAGCAAATAATAAACTATATATATTAGTTTATATAGAAACCGAGTGTCTCAGGACAAAGAGGTACCGTGTCCGGGAAGTGGACAAAAAATTAAAAAAAATCTTAAGCCCAGAGAAAATGCCGCAAATTATCTTCTAGTTGCCAAAAAGATCAACATTGCAGGGGCGGTAACTAACTGATTGAGTACCGTTTTGAAACTGAGACAAACCCAAATCTTTTTGCTTTTTTTTTCAAATTTCGAGTACCGTCTTTCCCTAATGGCGTATTGTACGTCCATAAATATTTATTGCATTTATTCCTTTGACTTTTTAAGTTTTTTAGAGTACCTTAACCGCAGACCTTCACAGGGCAGTGGTAAAACCCATCCCAACAGATGTTTATTCTGCATTAAGTACGTCTTCCCTAGGATGGACCGTAACGAATATTTGTAGAAACTTGAAATTTTTATTTGAAATGTAAATGGACCGTTTTAAATTTTGAAATTTCGAATTAGAAGAAGCGTTAATTTCAACATCAGGCGATATGTATCGTTCTTAAGAATTTAATCTAAATTGCAATATGTTCGTATATATTGCGGAGGTATTTGACTGTGATCCTTCCAGTAAATACGTATTTATGTACTTGATTCTCGAGTTTTGACCTTGCCAGGCTGTCTTCACTGGATAGTTCAAAGGGTAAGATTAAGTACCTGTATTCTATTTATCTTACAAGTAAGTTTGAAAATAATCATTTTTGTCTTGTGTGCCTGTCGATTAACAAACAACATTCTGCTTCTTCTATTTTTGTGTCTTCTACATAGTTCTTTCATTTGCAAACAACAACAATCTTTTTTAAGACTACCACGGCATAAGAATACAGATAAACAATTATTAGAGTCTTACAATTAAACGTTTTTTGAAGGTTCCTGTTTTTTAACACTTTAAAATGCGGAGACCGTGGAATGAAGCATATGTTCTCCTATTAGGAGAAGACACGGAAAACAACGCAAAATTTGAAGGTAGCCGAACCTAATGACCCAATACAAAAACGGATCCGTTTATCTTCGGATGCTAAACAAATTGTTTTGAATGTTTACAATTTTATAAGAAATTCAGAAGGGGAAGTAGGAGCAGCACTTAAAAACTAGTGACATAGGGGGCTGCGGTTTTGGAGTAATGAACAGTAGTCAAAGTCAATCACGGGGTCGGTTGTAAAAGCACTATAATTCTGGCTCATTATCCTTTGTGAACTTTTTATTTACTTGTATCACCACAAAACAAGTGGGTAATTACGACGTTCAGTTTCCCCAACTTACCGAGACCCAAACATCCCTGGTACATCGGCTCCGTGGACAAGACTTGGACGACGATCCTCTCGCCAAGCTGCAGGGGCCTCGCGGTAAACACGTAACCCTGGCAAAACTCGGTCTCGGTCCTCATCGCGACGCTCCGATTGCCGTTCACGAAGCGCACGTTGCGCCCCCTGGTGCGGTGCAGCGGCATCGCCTGGAAACTGGTCTGCTGCGGTTGGTAGCGGAGCAGCGGAAGCGAAAGGTCGTGGGTTTCGCGGATTTGGTGCTGCTGCGGCGCTTGGATCTGCATCTGCTGCATGGGGTAGGTGATGCGGTCCACCGGGTCGCCCGTTCTCTGGTGCGCACCGCTGTTGCACGAGTTTGACGTCACGCTCGATCTGGAAACAGGGGATGTGCCGTTTTGCCGTCGATTTCGGTTGAACGCGCGTGCCTTACCTGGAGTTGTTCAGCTGGTGCCTGACGTCGACGAACTCGATAGCGGTCGAGTTGCCGTAGACGTCGATCAGGGCCCACACCGGTCCCCGAGTCTCCACCCCGCCGAAGAAGATTCCCTTTTCTTCGCCGTTGATACCGAAATGAACGTCACCGGTGGACGTGACGTAGTAGAACAGAACAGTGTTCTGGCTGCAGAATCTTTCGGGCAGCGCTTTGGCCCAGTATCCCGGTTTGTTGGTGAGGTCGGGACAAGCGTACTTCGGCAGGCCGTACCTGAGCCCGGTGGGGTCGTTCGAGGTGAACCCGAACCGGATTACGCCGCTCCAGTTGTTGGAGATCTCGAGGAACTTGATGCAGACCTTCTCGTTCACTTTGACGGGCCGCGAGCTGAACGCGATGCCCTTGCAGAAACTCTCGACGCGTTTGGCAATGGTGCCGTCGCGCGATATCCGGATATTCTCGCCGTGAACGTTGTGGAAGAGTAGCGGGGGCAGGTTGTTGGTGCCGCCGCCGTGCGACGACGATCTCGACGCTGCAAGGCGAAAAACGCACCTCAGCCCGAGTTTCATTTACGAATCGGAAGGATTATCGAAATTTTTTGACACACTTTGACGCATTGCGATTTGAACATACCAAATTTTAATCAGAGGTAAAGTCTGTTCATAGATATAAGAAAATGATTAACTGATACGAATTAAGGCAAGACCCGAGCAAGCTGTAAAAATGAAATATGGCCCAACAGCTCCAAACTTTGCTTAGAATTTAATTATTTGGGGTTTTGTTATGAAAGATACTCAACAATATTTATTTATTTATCTTTGTATTTATGTTTAAATCTAAAATAAAATTACAAATTATTTTTATTTCCTACTAAAATTACTTAAAATTATTCACATAATATATCAGTATCACTATCGCTTTCATCGCCTGCTCTAATTATTATTTGTTCTATATTATTCGCAATATGGATATACGATTGTTCTGATTTTCCTTTTTCCGGAGGCGATCAAAATCGACGTTATGGTTTGTTCATAGATATAAGAAAGTGACCAATTGCTTTTAAATGGGATTATCCAAGGGTGGTCATTAACATACAATGCAACAAGATTATTCCCTAAAGATTCGGAATTTAAATTCAGGTAAAATCGTGGTCCGTAATAGAAAATAATTTTATACATACCTGTGTTTAATATTCTTTGATTTGGTATACTACTTAGTTTAAGTTTATTAGTAATCATTCTTATTTCGTGTGTAATACAGCGTGTGTTGAATCGTGTGCGAATTATGCAAAATATGTGCGAGTCTAGTGTATCTGAGGGGATGCTCCCGCCCAAATGTAGAAAACACTATTCTATTGAGACCAAGGAAGTTATAAACAATGTTTATTTGACTCTCATTGAACCTGGTGCCAGCAAGGAAGTATCTTTAGAAGTTTAGAAGAAACAGTCACATTGACGAAAATTCCAACATCAACTGTATGGAAAATTGTGAATAATCCCATTTCAGCGAGGAAAAAAAGAAGCAACGCTGACAATTTCTCGAGTGTCGATGAAAGTGATCAAGATATAATACGGCGTAAAATTTACCAGTTATACGAGGAACAAAGCGTGCCTACATTAGAAATCTTAATTAGGAGCCTTGAACAAGATGAAACCGGTGTTAAATGTGGCAGAACTACTGTCTATATCGTGGGATAATGTTCTAGAGTTCGAAGTGCCCGACTTATCTAATATTTATCGTCCAGCAACTAATTTTTAGTATTTCCATATACCCAAGATCCTAATATTTAAATTAATTTTTGTTCTTATTAAAAAAAAAACTTGCAGCGGGATTAATTGGTATTAGCGGAATTACTGAGGGAATTAGTAGGTATTAGCAGTATTAATAAGGGAATGAATGTATATTCATTTTTTTTTTAATTTAGAGTGACTTGGGAGGGTGAATTTAGTAGTCCAGCAACTTTTGTTTGTCGTTACACTCAGTACATTCTCCATCGTATGTTTTTTGCCGTGTTTACGAAATCATCGCCTGGAAGCAAGCGAATTTCCACCCCACCTGCTTCGAAACGAAGGGCCGCCATATTAAAAGCGATATTTCGCGTTCAGATCTGAAAAACGTGCTACATATGTGCCGGCGATTTCCACGCACGTATATGCCATAATCTACACACACCAGGTGTATCGAAATCTTGAGTTCGTACGAGGAGGGGTGCCCCCCCGACGACAGCTGTCCGTCGCCATTGTGAGCGCGCGGGGTGGAAATGCCCCTTCGAAACACCCAGGTAGATCCGGTCGTGTATATGTTCTCTTGGATCTCACGGTATTTTTTTTCGATTTCCCGTTTTTTTTGTCTTTAATTTGCTATTTCTGCCGACGGCCCGCTTTCGTGAAAAAACATCCCCCGTGTAAACTTACCAGGAAATGCTTTGGTAGTACGGAATTACGGAGGCAGATTTGTGATAAAATTGAGTTTGCGAATACAAAAAAAAAACAAATTCAAAAGTTATTTTAATTTAATTTCTACGGTGATAAAAATAAGGGTAATTTTGCATGATGTTTTTCTATTTTTTTTTACTCACCACAAAACTAAAACTGTTTCAATTTTTTCGACTAGTTAACAACCAACGGTATTGAATTGTGGCAGCGATTTTTTTATCAAGCCATCTAGGTGTTTGGCCTAGGACAGGTATACGGATTTGTACAGGGGAGGCATATTAAAAAGTTTCCCCTGGGAATCATATCCGCTCTGTTATCAATCGCAGCTGTTCAGGGGGAGGGGACAAATTCGTCGAAAATGCCCATTTTCAGGAGTTTCAAAGTTTTTGCGCTTAATTTTTTGAAATTTATTTAACCGTTTACCTCTTTAGTTTTTAGCTGAAGATGTGGTCGAAACATTATTATGAAAATGTCCTAATTAATATTATAACAACGCAAAAATTCTTAAAAATTTCTTACGACATTTATATTTTACCCTTCCTAAAACCCTCGTTCGTTTTAAGCAGATTTTTAAAAAAAATAAAATGGAGATAATCGTTTAATAAGAAATATTAAGATATAACCTCCATCATTTCCAGTCTTTTCCATTGCTTCCTCAATTTGTTTATTCCAGTTTTTTCTTGGTTTACTCCTTCTTTTCCCTCTTTGCTTTGGACTCCAGTCCACTATTCTTTTTGGTCATTTCACAAGATCTATTCGTCGCACAGACCCGTACCATCTTATACCTTTTGCGTCTATTGTATCAACCATATTAATAAATTAATTAATACTCATCCGTTCTCTGACAATTTCGTTCCTTGCTTTATCCTTAATTGGGACTCCGCAAGCTCGTGTCCAAAACTTATAGTGTTATATGGCGATTCACACTTCGGAAACTTTTTTAAAAAACATACTTAGGGATCCTATAGCATCCACTGCAATGTTACTATAAAACTAAAAGTAACCGGAAAACCAAATGTACTATTACGCAATGTCAAATGTCAATTATGCAATCGCAACCGCACTTTTAAGTTGTTTATTTATTTGTTCTTGAAAGAAGTGTGCTTAGTTTTTTATAAATATCTAAGTACAGTTTAGAATTAAACGAAACATGTCTTTTAAACTTGTGCAAACGAAAGGGTTTGGGAATACGACACCATCTTTGAGCGTTTGATATGTGTGGTAGAGTCTGTTCATAGATATAAGAAAGTGACCAACTGATACGAATTAAGGAAAGTCCCGGGTAAGCTGTAAGACTGAAATATGGCCGAACAGGTCCGTACTTTGCTTAGAATTTAATTATTTGTGGTTTTGTTAGGAAAGATATTAAATAATATTTATTTATTTATGTATGTATGTATGTATGTATACGATTGTTCTGCTTTTTCTATATGTTTAACAGAATTTGCCCAACTTTGTGGAGGAATGTTAAAAACTTCGGTTTCTATAAGTTTGAGGACATTGGAGTTAACACGGGGAAAAACATTGTTACGACAACAGATTTCAGTTGGTGCCAAACATGTTCAATGGGTAAGGTGGTAAGGTGGAAGCCTTAAAACTGTGTGCCCTAGATTTTTTGCATAATTATCACAGACGTATTCCTTTTGTAGGTTCAAGCATTGTAGAACCTCAATTAATTGCTTTTTGGTATAATCTTCGTGAAAATAAATGTCGTTATTATACATGTAGTTTTGAATTGTTGCTTTTGTGTCACATGTGTGATAACTTGCATTGTCCATTACAATGACGCTATTAGGAGGAATGTTTGGAACTAGTTTGTTTTTAAACCAACTTTCAAATAAATCAGCGGTGGTGTCTTCATGGTAATACAGAGAAGAATCTTTAATATTTTTCGCAGACAGAGAAAGTCCATTTGGAATCCAACCATCTTTAGAGCCAGCATGCAAAATAGTTATTCTTTTACCTCTTTTTGATGGCGCGTTTGTTTTACACTTATCAGTTGAGTCAACCCAACCCTTTTCCGGGGTATCATAAGTGTCGAACCCGGTTTCATCCAAGTAAACAATTGCCCTTTGTTGTTCTCTGTAAATCCTAATTTTTTCTAGATATTCCAGTCGTCATTTCCGAATTTTTTTAAATCTAATACCCATGTGTTGAATACACTTCCATAAGGTAGTTCTGCCACATTTAACGCCGGTTTCATCTTTTTCAAGCCTCCTAATTAAGATATCTAATGTAGGCAGGCTTTGTTCCTCGTATAACTGGTAAATTTTACGCCGTATTGTGTCTTGATCACTTTTATCTACATTCGAGAAAATGTCAGCATCGCTTCTATTTTTCCTCGCTGAAATGGTATTATTCACAATTTTTCATACAGTTGATGTTGAAATTTTCGTCAATGTGACTGTTTCTTTTAAACTTCTAAAGATACTTCCTTGCTGGCAATGAGAGTCAAATAAATATTGTTTATAACTTCCTTGGTCTCAATAGAATAGTGTTTTCTAAATTTGGGCGGGAGCATCCCCTCAGATACACTAGACTCGCACATATTTTGCATAATTCGCACACGATTCAACACACGCTGTATTACACACGAAATAAGAATGATTACTAATAAACTTAAACTAAGTAGTATACCAAACCAAAGAAACAGGTAGGTATAAAATTATTTTCTATTACGGACCACAATTTTACCTGAATTTCAATTCCGAAATTTTAGGAAATAATCTTGTTGCATTGTATGTTAATGACCACCCTTGAGAACCATAACTATAAAAACTGTTATAAAAGCTAAGGTTTCTCATAAACCCCTTATAAATATCCATTACCTTATAATAAAGCTGCAAAAAATTAGCTGGGTCACGTAGGACGAGGGAAAACGGCGTTTTTTAAAAAAAGCCTAGGTTCCCACGGACCCGGTTCCCGAAAAAAAAATCACACGGTCTTATGTAAATCAGCGTAAACGAAGACGTTTCGTCCGTTCTAGGGGGGCGGAGGGGGACAAACGGACTCTTCAAAACGACGAAAATCGCCGCTAATGCGACCGGCGTGTTTGTACAGATATTAACGAAAACACGGTCTAAGTGGGTACCGGGTA